TTTCAAAACTAGAGGCCCAGTGCACGAAATTCGTGCACAGGTAGTATCTCTAGGCCTGGCCAGTGATCAGGGCCAATCAGGTTCCCTGCCTCCCCACCTCCTCCTTCCCTCGCCATCCGCATGCCACCGCCACTGCTGGTTGCCCACCATGTTCCGCGCCACCCCCTGGTGGTCAGTGCACATCATAGTGAGCAATTGAACTCACAGTTGAACTCCCGAGGGGACACTTTGCATATTAGCCTTTTATATATATAGAAGTTTCACGGGTTTGAAGGGCTGTCTTGTGACCATCAGACAGAGGGTATGATGGGAGGCAATATTGCATAGTGGTTAAGAACACAGGTTTGGGAGTTGAGCTACTTTGCATTAAGCCCCATTTCATCCTCTGTAAGACAGGGATAGTAGTCTTAGTATTATTATAATAACAGTCTTATTCCTATAATAATAACCTAACACAGAAGGGAGTTGCAAGGACCGACAGCCATGGCCTCAGTGTTCTCACTAATGAAGGTTCCAGACTCCATAGTTCAGGATCCTGTTTGGGGGTCTTGGAAAGAAATAAGAGACTTAAACCCTTTTTTTCTACTTTCTTTTAGCCAAGCATCTCTTTAGCCAAGCGAACAAGAGCCGATTGGAGGCTGCAGTGGAACAAATTTCCTAGTGGAAGTTTGAGTCTCTTTTTAAGTTGCTCTCACCCCATTACGTTTTTGGATTGATTAAAATTTTGTGGCTAATTCTGGCTACATCCAAATCTACATCTGCCAAAAACTGATTGATCAATCTACTAGAGAAGCTAGAGTCAAAGTCCTTTTGGGGACAAGCTGAGGGGTAGGTTGACAATGGTCTTGTCTCCAAAGCTCCCATTTGTGATTGCCAACTGCAAAGTTGTGATTATTATTGATCTCCTACGCCCATTGCTTTTGAGCAGGGCCATCTGAAGTAGAGCTGCATCAATTGATAATGGCCAATGTGCTTTTAATTCCAGATCTTGGTAAGTGGATGATTAAAGAAAGGGTTGGCGTCAGTGGCTGGGTGTTTGTCACTCAATCTGTTTTGAGGCTACGTCTACATTAGACAGATACCTGTCTCTCCCATGAAGCTGTAAGTGCTTGTTAATCTTCATACACCCCCACTTCCCTGCAAGTCCTAGTATAGTATTTACACATCGTAGGCACTCGGTTTGTGAATTGGACACATTTTTCTATATATTCATATGTGATCAGTGGCAACAAAGGGTGGAGCCAGGTTTTGTGGAGTCTGAAGTTCACACAATTTAGGGAACCTCTTTAAGAAAATTACAAATATAAAGTTGGATACAAACAAACATTTTTTAGAATGAAAACAGAAATATAATAAAATACAAATTTAAAAAGTTTATAACACAAAAAATGTATAACACCATAAATTTCACAAAATCCAGAAAAATAACCTTAAAAAATATTAATACTTTTCTCCTACCTTTGTAATAATTTTTAGACCCTACCTTTTGGCTGCATACTCGTTAATTGCTTCTTTACATTATATTTTTCATAAACTTTATTTATAGAACAGTTCTAGACTTATAGAAAAATTGCTCCTCTTGGCTGTGATAGTTTGTCAGATTATCCTTGTTTTGGGGAAGCTTGACCACTTAGAAGGATACGTACTGGTCATTTAATTTTGTAAAATGTCCTAATGGGATTTGACTGATATTCTTCTCATGATAAGCCTGGGGTATGGATTTTTGGGAGGAAGACATTTTTACAATTTTCTATAGAGAGAAGAGAAGGAGTTGATGGAATTTTTTTAATTGACAGTTTTGATCAGACATTGATGATAACTGAATCCATTGCTTTTCACTTTAAATAAGTGCTGATCAGAAGAATTTTCAATAGTATAACTTCTGACTATGTACCGTTCATCCTGGTTTCTCTTTTACTCCCCACATACTTCCAGATGCCTTAGGACAGGCTGATAAGGAGATATGACTGCAGGCCCTCTGGACATAAGATGCTGGGGAGTTGAAAGAGAATCTAGAGGTAGTTCTGGGAACATGGGAAGGTTAGAAATATACATACAAGAACTGGAAAGCCCATAAATATATCTCCCCAATCCCAAAGTAATATATTCCCAACTCCAGTTCCCTTAGCTGGGTTCTAAAAATGAGCTGGCCATTTTAGCACTCCCAAGGGAGGATGATGATAGAGGGGACTTGGAGCAGAGAATGGCAACAGTATTAACTGATTACAGCTAAATTATCTTTTGCAAATTTTGCGGAAACATTTATGTGAATACGTGGCTAGCACCTTGGGTGAACGAGGGCCCTAGGGAAGCTGTGTTAACATCCATAGTCGGCAGGACTCTTTCAGCATTATTGTGCTACTGCTCAGATTTGCTGGTACAGCTCTCTCGGACTTCCAGCAATAAGGAAGAAGGATATTTCCACCAAAAGAACACTTTTCTGTAAGTACTGATGATTATCACATGGTCTTCTCTATTTAAGCTATGGTCCTTCCTTCTCCCACATCCTTTTTCTTTTTTAAGTGCACTTGATCCACTGACTTCATTGACTTTATGATGGAGTCGATGAGTTCTCCCAGCCTCACTGGTCAGGCCCTCTCCCAGCATGCAGTGCTGCTCCAGCATAGTTGCTAGATAAAGTCAGGGATTCCAGAAGTCATCCTGCTCCTCCACAACACCTGACTTTCTGTGTCTTGAGGTGATTTGACTTTATTTAGTCGATGTTGAATATCCTATATAATAAAAGCATAATATGCAAATTGACCGAATGGCCAAACAGCAGAACGACCATCCGGACGACCATCTAGGACTACGCTATGACACCCACTGGTGCCAGGTCAGCTAAGGCGGGTGCAATGCGATTGGTCGGGGGCCCGGCCATTGCCCCATGATGGCACTGCAGAGGGAGGACCAGGCCACTGGCCGGTGGGGCGATCAATAGGGTGGGCTCCACGATCGTCCCAAAGAGGAAGGCCCAGGCCACTGACCAGCGGGCTGCGGCAGGTGGGTGGGGCCTCCTCTGCGAGGGAAGCCCAGGTCCCGGATGCTGGAGGGAAGCCAGTGCCAGCAGCCGGGGGAAGGAAGGCCTACTCTTGCATGAATTTCGTGTATTGGGCCTCTAGTAAATTATAAGTATCCCAATCTTCCAATTCAACTAACTTCTCAATGTCAACCAGTAAAATTCGAACTCTTTACAAGAATTTCTAGGATGTCCTTCATAACCTGTTCCTGCTTTCCTCACTGGACAGCTCTCCAGCCACACCCTCTCCAAATAAACTTTACTGTAGAAGAAGGTTTCTGTATCTGCATTTAACAGATATGCTTCAATGGCGCACACAACTGAGGGTGGAAACAGGCGGCAGTCTCCAGCGCACCAGCCTGCAGGCAGTCTTCTGGTGGGCTTACCCAGACAGCAGTCACTCTATTCACAGGGCCCTGAGTGTGGGATCCTGAGACAGGGCCTAGGTTGGCACTGTCACTGTGATCGGATGGGTAAGTAGTCTTTGTCACCGTGACTAAATGAACAAACAATATATGTCACAAGGACCTATGATCCCATTGGACCTAATGTTTTAAAACTTTTGATATGTTTGACAAACTTCCCTAAATTCAAAAATTAGTCTTTCTTAACCTGAAAATAACTTTGAGAATATTTATCAGGATCCCTGAAACATTTCAAAGAATGTCTCTTCCTCTCTGTAAACGAGGGGAATTAAACTAATTAAGTCTATTTGATATGTTAAAATTACATGGAAAGCACTGTCAAATAACAGTAACAATTGTGTTATATTCATATGCACATATTACTGTTATTAAAAGAAATATTATAGAAATTGTATAAAATTTCTAAGAATCCACAATGTCCTGATAAAATGTTTTTATTTGCAATTCGAGTTACACTAAAATATGTGTTGAGAAAAACAAATCTGTCATTTGCATTGTAATCTGGTCTTTAACGGTCATTCCAAGTCGGTCATTTATAGGGTCACTGTCTTACTCTGATACTTTTTGCAAAAATGTTTCCTCTTCAGAGAGACTGGTGGAGAGGACTCTGACACTTACTCTAAAATACAGGTTTCTGAGCAATTTTCAGATCATATCATTGAACTGAGTAGGAATTTTCAAAAGTCTAAAGAAAAATTGGATTCATAAATCTGCTAACAAAAAAAAAATCAAGATAAATAAGAGTTAATGACATGGGACTGAAACGACAAAAAGATGTGTGGACTGAAGGCTAAGCTCTACCCTGCACAGCGCAGTGCTGAGGAGACACAAATGAGAGGGACCATCAGGAAGCGTGAGAACAGAAACACCAAACATAAGAATGACGAAGCGTCCCCAGGGTGCAGTCCCTGCTCATCTGCTGGGAAGAGAGGGACCCACCCCAGCTAAAGCACTTTCCAAAGGGATGAAACAAAAGCGAAAAGAGAGAGTGGCACAATGGGCAGCCAGAGTCCGTGCCCAGGGAGACACAGGGGTATTAAACGTTATCCGAACAGGAAAGAGAAAAAAGAAAGTGTCAAAGAGGTTGGTTACCAAAGTCTGCTTTGTTGGAGGTGGCTTTACTTGAAAACCACCTAAATATGAAAGATTCATCAGGCCCATGTAACACAGCCTGCACTGAAGGCCACCTTTGGCCTGCCAGTATTTTATGTACAGAAGAAACCCTCATCCCCACTTCATACAACTTTGGGTGTTATCAGCAAAGGTGCTGTCATCAAGGTGAATGTGAGCGAGTTGGGCCTTGTGACGTGAAAATATGCCCAGGTTACCAGCCATCCTGAAAACGATGGATGCATAAATGCAGTCTTACTGGTTTGACAGCAAGTAACTCCTTATAATTATTGAAGACTGTGCACCAATCAGGAAAGCTCCTTTACTGTGATGTTCCTGAGTACTAGCTCACAGTTTACATGTCTGCAGTCATTAAAATGGCCCAGTTTACAAAAAAAGTACAAAGAAGCGGATGGAGTTAATTTTAATATGTTATTGAACCCAGTATGTCCAAAAATAATATTTCAACATGTAATCCATATCAAAACTTCAGAGAGATGTTTGCATTCTTTTTTTTAAACTTGGTCTCCAAAATCCATTGTGTATTTTATACATACAGCACATCTCAAGTCAGACTAACAACATTTCAAGTGTTCAACTGCCCCAGGTGGCTCTTGGACGGGACAATCTAAAGGGTGTTGTACAACTTTGCTTCTTGACGTGCAAACCCATCCCCTCAGCCCCGCTGGTCATCTCAAGACACTGGGGACTGTGTGGAGCTCCAGGGAGCTGAAAAACGGTGAAGTGGAAACTCTGAGCATCACAGCCCCAGAGCACAGCTATCCGTCCACACAACCTGAGGCCCAGCAAAGGCAGCCGGATGATGCAGGTGCCACCATCGCCCACATCGGCATCCGGCTGTCCTCGGCCACACCTGGGTAATTAGAGATCCACTAGAGGAGAATTGCTGTGTGCTTCTAAAATGAGAGCATTGCCACCGTGGTAAGTAAGTTTATCAGCAAAGTTAAAAAAAAGTTGGTGTTCGGTTGAGTTGGTGAATTGAGTTGTCTCAATCCCGGAGTCTCCCTAGACCCCCTCGGCTGTCCCCGTTCCCTGACGTGTGCAGTGGCTCCATGGACAGCATTTCTTCTCTGAATCCCAGCCCCCGGGCACGGCAGGGCTCAGTCTGTGTTCAGTGAGTGAACACAGGAATGGTAAGCTTGCTCTGTGACTCAGGGGAGGAGAAAGTGTGAGATATGATTTTGAAATTGGTTCCTTCTTCGAATGACAGATACAGACAAAGACTAATGTCTTTTCTGACATCTCCTCTCCGGCGGACTCAGCACAGACGTTTTTCTTTAACGAGTATTCATCATAGCTGCCTGCTCTTCCACCTCACAGGTTCTGCCAAGTCAACAAGAGCAGGTCTGGAGGACGGCGGCTTTGGAAACAAGAGGGATACAGAGGTCAAACAGAAAGAACTGGTCTTCCACGGTGAGGCGGGGCTTCATCGGGGACCCCCCTCTCAGGAACTGCCACTTCCTCCCACCACTTCAAGGCTGCTGTGCGACATGCCCACGGCAGTGTCTACTTTCCTGGAAGATTCCATGTCTCGGGACAGATTCAGCCCAGCACTGTCATGCATGTTGAAATTGGCCTAATCTGTCTGTCTCTTGCCTTCCTGGTTCACCTGCTACCTCATTGGAGAGTCTGAACACTAGGTTCTCCTCTGGTTCCTAAGCCTGGAGCTATGTCCGCACAAGGAATGAGAAGCCTGTGATAATATGGAGTCTGAGAAGCAGCAGCCAAGGGTTTGGTTAGGGAGCTGCAGACAGGGAGCTCCCTGCAGACTTTAACGGGCTTGGCCTGGAGAGAAGGAGAGGAAGGAAGGTGTGTGGCCTTTCTTGGCCCCCATTCGATCTCAGGAAAGTTGAGCAAGGCCAGGAGGTTCCAGGACAAAGTCTCCAGTGAGAGGAGTCCCATGTGTCCCAGGAAGGGGCCTGTTCCTAGTGCCCCTGCCACACCCAGTCATCGGCCAGGAGCAGCCCGTGGGAAGGGTGAGCTCAGCAGAGGCAGAGATGGATGTTAGAGCAGAGGACAGCGGCTGGTGCCGGGCCCATTACGCTGCCGGGGGCTGGAGGTCTGCAAGGTGCATGCTCCTGGCTGCTCTCAGGCTGTCTCAACAACAAGCTGTGTGGGCCCGGCTCAGCCCGTACACAGAGCGAGCACCACGTGACAGGATGGAATGTGCCCTGGAACTGGCCTTGAGGTCCTGGGTCAAGGCCCTGATTGTTACTCACTAGCTCTCTGACCTTAGATACAACCTCTAAGTGCCTTGGCTTCTTGATCTTAAACGCACACCTGCTTCACAGTGTTGTGTAGAAGGAAATGAACTTGTGGTACAGAATACTTTGTGCAATGTTGATACGAATGCTCACATGGTGAACAAAATCAACAAAGCACCGCTATTGGAGACCAATGACAGGACGTCTGCATTCTGTCATAAGGAAAGTCTGTGGCAATGATAGGACTGTCCATCTTTGTGGTTCCATTTGTACAACACTGCACACTATTCCAGCATTCAAATTCTACAGCATCTCAACTACTTCAGAGATGTTAGGTTTTTAATTGAATTTATTATGGTGACATTGGTTAATAAAAGTATACAGGTTTCAGGTATACAATTCTACAATACACCATCATTTGTATATTGTGTGTTTACCACCTCAAGCCAAGTCAGATTTTAAAATTATGTTCTGGGCAGATATTTATAAAATTTTTTCAATGCACAAGGATTGGGGAAGATGAAGAGTATTTCTGAAAGGCCCAAAATTTTACATAAGATAGATATTCCGCAGCTCCTGAATAATTTGAGGGTGACAATAATTTATGGAGAGCAGTGGTACTTGCTCACTGCTCACTGCTTCCCCTTCTAAATGGGGAAGATGCTGGTGGTGGAAAGCTGTTGCATTAAAGAACACCCCTCAGTTTTTATTCCAGGAAGATGCTGAGATGTCAAAGGCTGGGGAGCACCTCTTAGGAATCACAGGGTGAGGTCACAGGCATAAGCAGTGGCTCTGAGACCTCATCCGACACTCAGATTCCAGGGCGGACTCACTCTTTGGTGAAGGATGCTAGGAGATGAGGAGCCTGAAGCTGGAAGAACAAAACTGGAAAGACTGTGGATTTTTTCCTAAATAGTTGAAGGATTCAGAACTGTCTAGATTTTATTCTGGAAAAAAAAAGAGTTGAAGTAGATAATCTGATATTAGAATCTGTGGTTCTGATGTGAGCTCTGGGGTTATGAGTGAATGAAATTAGACGTTGGACTGGTAGGAACCGGGTAGCCAAGGGTGGAGGCTAAACTCACAGAGTGAGTCACACCCTTAACAATTTACTCGACTATGAGGAAACAGGTCACCCCACATCAGGACACCCCCAGACAGAAGACTCCCCAGCCAACCAGGCAACTTGTCTGTCTGCTGATCTCCATGCAGTGTTTGTTTCATGTTGCCACCACCCAAAGATTACAGCAGCGATTCTCCTTAAAGACAGACCTGAAGTATGGCTTTCCCAACTTCTCTGTCCTTCCGACCATGTTGCCTCTTCCACTCTCAGCAGTCCAGTGCCCATAGCCAGTTCAAAGGGCACAGGTCTATAGCTAGAGGAATAAACTCCTTTTGCTCCCTTGCCCTGAATAAGCAGGGCTCCCGAAAGTGTGGTCCTCCAATGCCAGCATCAGAGTCACCTGGAGAGCTGGTTACGGAGATTTCATCAGCCCCACCCAGACCTACTTATCTAGAATGTCTGGGGGCGGGACCCAGAATCCACATTCTCTCCCCCAGCCCCCACCCACACTCATTTTCCCCAAGTGATCCTTTTGCACACAAAAGTGTGAGAACCAGTGAAGGGATCGGTAAGCTCTCAGGTCAAAGATCCTGGGGCTTCACGGCCCTGATTTCAGGAGATTTACCTTATTTCTCAGTTATTTGTAGTTTTAAAGTTTTAAACTCCTTTTGCTCCCTAGGTATTCTCTCTGGACCTTCTTGTTTACTAGTCAGAGATTTTTTTTTAAAGTCTGAACAAATTACTCATACAACAATATACATATACAGTATATTACATGGAAGACCCATGGGGGAGGGGACACTTACAGAGATGAGGTGCCCCGCCCTGAAGGTGCTGGCAGGCTGGAAGAGGAGCTAAGTCTGTGTGGAACCAGCTTGGCTGCAGGGCAAGGAAATCACAGGGCTGCGAACTCAGGAGGCCTCCCTTCTGATTGGTCAGTACTTGGCTTAGCCAGTTGCTAAATATGTTGGATATCAATCCTGGCAATAAGTACTATATAAGTGGTAGAAACAAAGTTTTCCAAGAGTTCTGAGGGGGAAGAGATCACAACCAGGAGAGCTTCCTGGAGGAAGTGCCAATTGAATGAGACCTTGAGGAGCCGTAAGATTTCAGTGGGAAGACGACACGCTGATGGAAGAAAAGGAATGAGAAAAGGCACAGAGGCAGGGAACTGTGAGGTGTGGTCACGGAGAGAGTGGAAGGATCTGTGATGTATCAGTTACCTATTGCTGCGTGACAAACTTCTCCAGAATGTAAGGGCTTAAAACAACAACAGTCACTTATCCTGCTCCTGAATCTACAGCTTGCCCTTACTCACTCAGTGTCAGCTTAACGGGGACTGGGGGTTTACTTTCAAGATGGCACCATCACCCAGCTGGGAAATTGGAGGAGGCTGTCTGTTCTTCTTCTCCTCTTCCTCCTCCTCCTCTTCCTCTTCCTCCTCTTCCTTCTTCTTTTTAAATATTTTTATTGATTTCAGAGAGGAAGGGAGAGGGTGGAGAGAGGGATACATCAATGATGAGAGAGAATCATCAATCAGCTGCCTTTTGCACACTCTGCACTAGGGATTGAGCCCACAACCCAGGTATGTGCCATGACTGGGAACCGAACCATGACCTCCTGGTTCATAGGTCAACATTCAACCACTAAGCCATTCTGGCCAAGCTGTCTGTTCTTCTTTATGTGGCCTTCTCTACAGCATGGGCTTCCTCACAGCTATTGGGTTGCAAGAACAAGCATCCCAACAGGGCCAGGTAGACGATGTATCACCTTTTATGAACCAGGTTTGGGGATCATATCACCACTTCTGCTGTGGTCACAAGCCCACCCAAACACAAAGGGAGGGATCAGAGAATCTACCTCTCAACGGGAGGAGCGTCGACGTGTTTTGTAAGAAGAGGATGTGGGAAGGGAGATGTTGTTGTAACCAATTTGGGTAAATAATGTGACAGCAAGCCCTGATGATGCATTAAGCAATAATATAAAGCGGTTTTTAAAAACTAGATGATTTCATTAGTTTCAAATAGGCAAAGCAAACATCACTCTTCTTTGCAGATGAGGAAACAGAACTTAGAGAGGCGGAGTAGAAAGGTAGGTTTTCTATGCACTTAATGAAGCTTTAGCTTCAGAGCCCCTCACTAGCAATGACACCTTCTGTCAAGGCACCAGGAGGGACCCAGAACGTGTTCATATGCACGTGTGTTCTGTAAATTTTCAGGGGCAAGAGATCTTAGCTGCAATTGGTTAAGTCTACTGTACTCTTCCACTTCAACCTCCCCTCCATCACATTTCTCCTGTGTCAGGTGTCATTGGAATGGTTATGGACACTTTGGAGATCCTGTTAAGGGGAAATTAAATCACAAGATACAATTTCTGGTGGACAGGGATATGCTGATGTGGTTTTCAGTAACTTCAGCAGACAGTGAAGTTATTACTGGGCATCCTGAAGTAGAAGTGACTTCCAGGAATACTGCTCTGGCTTGCTGGCTGACTCACCCGGCGCTGTGATGCTAGAGGCCAGGACGAGAGGTCACATAGGACATGACTGTGTCCTGTGGTATATGGAACCAGAAGGAATTAGTTTGAAATGTGCATCACCAGAAGCTAGTCTGCGGAGAATTCTCCCAATCAGGATGCAGTTGTTGTACCTGCCAAAGGCAGAGTGAGTGCAAGGAAAGCATGAAGACATCATGATACAAGTTATTAAGAAAGAGGCTCTTTCCTGAAACTCTCTGGAAGGAAGACGGGGACTCAGAACTGCTCACAGCGAAGAAAGTTGATACCTGAGATGTGTTTGCAGGAAATGGGAGAAAAATGAGGCTATTTGTGACCCCAATTATCAACTCATCAACAAAAAGCATTTATAAAGTCCCAAGTGTTCCAGGACACTGTGGGGATACTGGAGTATAGAGGGTGACCGCTAGTTAGATGCACTGAATTAGACAGGGTTTCTGATCTGTATGATATAAGGTAATGTGAAATGAAGTTAACTCAGGCCAACTTACCAGGTAAAACCAACAAAAGAAGGAAAATAAGGCATTACTTACACAGTGCAGCAACTGCATTTACACTGGTCATTGGCACACAGCATTTGTTGGTGGAGGTGGAAAGCAGGGAGCAAGTCTGGGAAGGAGAGAGAGGGAAGTAGCTGGAAGTCCTAGGCTTAACCAGGGCAAAGGGAAAGAAACCCACCTGGAGAGGCTCCGTGGGGGAAGGCTGATTCTCAGTGGGCTGGGCAGGGAGGCTGTTTCCCGGGCACGTTTCAAGCAACAGCTGGGTGCAACTCCTGATGGAATTCCAGCGAAGAGGCAGGAACTCAGAGAGTGTTTGCGAGGAGTGATCTGAAACCCACAGTGATAATAACCACCACTGTCATCTTTTAGATTCCTGTGTCAAACCAAAACATCAATGCATTTTACTTATTGATGCAAGGTGAAATAACTTGCATTCCTGATGATGCCTTTGAAAGAGAAACAGACCATCTTCGATGTGTTTGTGAAAGGTCGTAGGAGCCATGACATCATCAGACATGGTGGGGCTGGGGTTCAATGGGTCAGGTTGATGAGTGTCGTAGCAATAGTGAAACCGAAAGGAGAAGACAAAAGTTAATGGAGGTCAGACCAAGACTGTGAGAGTGATCACGGGAAGGAGGCAGGTCGGTGGAGAACGGGCCGTGCTAAGGGTGGTCTGAACTGAAGCTCCCTCGGAGGGTTGCTGGTGGTCCTGGCCTCTCAGCCGCAGCCTGGTTCTCTCATGTACTTACATCTCAGATGAATGGGCACTGCCTGCTGGCTTTCACTCCCGCTGGTGCCTCCCAGGCTGGGCCCCATGCCAGCACTGTACCAACTGCAGAAGTCCCCTCCCAATCCCCTCAGTCTTTTCTGCCCTCAGCAGCCCTGGGCCTGGTAGGTCCCTTCCTCCTTTTGGAAAGTCCCTTCCCTGTTAGGACTTCTGTGATCTACATTTTTGCCCAATCTCCCTCTGCTCCTTTCCTATGACTTTCCACGACTCCTCGCCCATTTCACGTTCCTTGACTGTGGGCACCTCCAGGATCAACCCTGGTCCTCTGGTCTTCTCGCTTTATACTGGACACCAGTTCACTTTTATTTTCTCAATAAATACACTTACTAAAAGAATCCCCAAAGCTACATTTCCAAAAAGCCAACCATTTTTGCCAAAGCTTCTAGTACATGCTCCCTGCTGTGTTGTCATCATTTCAAACTCAAAATACCCAAAACTTAATTTATCCCCTACCCCCCAAGCCTAACGTCCTCCCTCACTTCCTAATTTCTGGTCATGTTATCACACTTCTCAAATTCTCCTAAATTTGTGCCGTTGGGCTTTCCTGTCCCTTTGTCCCTCCATCAGTCACCAAGTCCTGTGGACTCACCCTTGCCATGTTCATAAATTCATTGCTACCTGTCTCTTCTCATCCCAAGAATCGAAAGCCATCTCGTCACATCTCTCCAGGGGAGAGTCTGGTAGCTGTTTCTCTCTGAATTATCTTCCTTAAACACTGTCTTGGTAGCAGTAGCTTCATATATCAAGTGCTTACTATATGCCAAGTACTTTAGTAGAAGTTTTAAATACGCTACCTCATTTAAGCCTCTCAACCCTATGAATCGACACTACTGTTAAACACATTTCACAAATGGGAAAACTGAGTCTCAGCAAGTTTACCTCTGCGTCCCAGAGTCATACAGCTAACGTGGAATACGGCCTTGAACTCGTATCTAGTCAACTCCAATGTGTGGCATGCTGCATGCGTGCTAAAAAACCGACAGCAGTCTCCTGTGACTTATCAGGTCCAGCATCCTTGTTCAACACCCAGCGTCTCCTAAACTAGCCTCACCAATCTGCCCGCTGGACTGCCTTCTACTGTCCAGAGTGGTACCTTCCTCTTAACGGCCCCACCTTCCTAAGCAGTGGGTGGAGCACGGCACTGAGTCATGAGTCTGACATGTGTACTTCTCTAACCCTGAGTTCTCTTACTTGTGAAATACCCACCCCACAATCCCAGGATTGTTGTGAGGATTAAATATAACGATTACAGAAAGCGCAGCATGGCGCAAGGCACATAATAGGTGCATGATAAATAGGACCCACTGTGACTAGTCCTATTTTTTCTGCCTCTCTGCTTTTGTTCATAGTATTCCCCACATATGTAATGCATGTTCTTCTTGTTGCTCTAACCTAACAGTTATTAAAGGCCAAATCCCATCTTCACGAAACGTTCCCTTTAGCCAGCACACACTACTCTCTCCCCTCTGCAATTCTGAATGTGCTTTTTATGTGCACTAGGTGGCTAGTATTATATACTATCTTATTCTCAAATGGTTTCATATAAACGAGGCTCACACGTCACTTGTGAGCTTGTTGGTATTTCTTCTGTTCCCATCTCAAAGCTCCTGGCAAAGTGTTCCAAAGTGATTTATTAACTGACTGGTGGAGACATTTAAACGTTAGAAGAAGTATGAGAAAATAAAGACAAAATTGGCTATTATGTTGTTTGATTTGATTTAGCAACCAGAGGTCTGTGTTTAGGTTATCCTGTAAGAGGCGCGGGCCAGGAGGGGGGGTTCAGGAACACAGTCGGTGCCAACTGTGGTAAAGGGAAGGAGAAACGGTGCACTCAGGATTATTGCTATTATTGCACTCTTTCTTTAAACCCCTTCTCTTAGAGAAAAGACAGACCTGAGAGGAAAGATGTGAGTTACATTTCCGGGGAACCGCTGGGAAAGAGGCCCGGACGGGAGTGAAGATGCAATGGGCTAGCTAGAAGCAACGAAGAGGAGGACCCCAGGCATTCACGTTTGTAAGTAACACAGAAAAAACAGGAAGCACATTAAACAGAAGAGCCAGAGGTCACATTAAGAAGTGAGATTGTGGCTGACACAAGTGTAAGAGGAAAAGCCTTAAATGCACCCAGGAAACTGGGTCATGGAGAGCCAGCAGCATTGCTTACCTCGCTACTCATGGAGAAAATTAGATAACTGTGTTATTTTGAAAGAAACCAGGTTCTGTTTACTGAATGGTCTGAAAGAAGTGAGAAGGGCCAGATAGGGGATGCTTTGTTTTGGTTCTGAGATTATGTCACACGGGAGAGCCCGCGTGCTGTATTCAAAAATGCCAACACGAGAAAGATCGGGGCAGGTTTCTGAGCTCTGGCAGGTGGGACTGGCACTGTGGGTGAGCAGCAAAGGTGCCTGAAGGGAGAGCGTGCACTCATGGCTCTGAGCCCCCTTCTTGTTCTGCGGGGAATGGCAATTATTACTTAAAGGCAGAGTGAGAGGAAGTTTCCTAAATCATCTGCATGGCATCGCCTTTGGCTGTGCCATGTAGCCGCCTACCTACCCTGGGGATTCTGCAGTTTCTAATTTGTTCGCTTACAGGATAAGAGGAATGCATTTAGCCAGGCCTGCTAGCTTCTGTGTCAGGCAACCCAGAACTCTCATGACTGTCTTCACAGTCCAAGCAGGGGTTAGGCAGGTGGCCTTGCACGGGATAATTCAGTAGCACAGCTCCTTTCCTGTAGTTCTGCCATCTCAATTTGGTTGTGTTCCTAGGATTGGTGAGTCAATCTCTTTTTTTTTCCCCTTAAAATAATTTTATTAATATGCACTGAAAATAAACTAGCTACCACATTTTTAGATGTTTTAAATTTTTTTTTTTCCGCTAAAAGTATTACAAAGGGTATTACATAAGTGTCCTTTTTTCCCCCCCACCGGTGAGTCAATCTCTGTAGAAGAAAATATAGTATTGGTCTGGATAAAGAAATCTAGGCAGTAATTCATATTTTTCTACCAATTGACATGCCTATAAACATGGGATGATTTAATTTTCCATGTCAAACAGATGCTCTGGGTTGCGAAGACCAAAAAAGTATGTGGGTCTCATTTTTTGGTAAAAGCATAGGGGTAAACCCTAGCTGGTTTGGCTTAGTGGATGGAGCGTCAGCTGCAGACCAAAGGGTCCCAGGTTCGATTCCAGTCAAGGGGCACATGCCCGGGGTTGCAGGCTCGATCCTCAGTAGGGGGTGTGCAGGAGGCAGCCTATCAGTGATTCTCTCTCATCATTGATATTTCTCTCTCTCTCTTTCCCTCTCCCTCTCTGAAATCAATAAAAATATATATATATTTTTTAAAAAGCACAGGAGTAAATGAGTATTGCAAAAGTTTATTTGTTGAATTGGTGTGTTACTAAATGAATGAAGCTTCTATAGAGATATGGTGGAAGATATCTAAGAAGCATAAATGAGAGAGGAACCATGAAAATTAATCATTTAGCTAACAACTGCAGTATATATTGAGGCAACATGGTAATTGTGGAAATCCTATGACTTCAACGTTCCATATTAGCATCAAGGTGACATTGCATTGTAGAGGTTACTGTCATTGTTGTAGGTCTTCAAACCACGTTCAGATTGAAATAAATTAGAATGTTTTTCATGCAAGTAGCTGAATAGACAAAGTTGAGGGTATTTTACAAAAGTGTTAAAGGTAGTTTTGAAAGTACACACACACAAAGACCAATATAATATAGCTTATGTAGACAGGAAGGTCATTCTCAAGCAATAGCATAAGGGATATGAGTTGGAAATAAAGACTAGAGCTCCTTGTCCATGGTGGACAAAGTTTTCAGAATCTCCTCCTGGAAGACAGACAGACTTACTTAAAGCCCTTAGCCCTATAACCATGCTTAGGTCCTCAGAGTCATCAGGTAACATAAAACAAAGAGAATTCCGCTCTGAATTCACAGTTTTATGGCAGAAAGATGTCATCTAATTTAATGCCCATTTTAACTAGAAGGAAAGTCTCCGAGCAGTAGAATGATTTGCCCAATGTCACAGTTGGAATAGATAGTGTAATTCTACTCCATAGAGAAGCATT